ACAGATTTTTCGATGATGAAGGGGGAGACAGTTCTAAGGGAAATTCCATTGTTGCTTTTAATTACGATGAATTTGGGTTCTCCTGGTTGGCATAATCTCGTGTTAAGTTTTGATATATCCGGTGGCTCGTGCATGGTTGCTTGTAAAGGGCTTGCGCCCGAGTTGTAAGAATTGGAGTCTTTTTGTTGTTGTTTTGTGGTTGATAATTCTTAGCCAAGATTTTGCCGAAAAGTTTATTGGGTTTTTTGCAAATGCGAGGTCGTTGTAGTTGTAGTCCTTCTGGACTCTTTGGGGGTTGAAGTGGTGTTAAGATGCACTGTTTTAAATCAGTATTTGCCTTGTTTTAAAATATGATTTAATGACTTGCAAATTTCACTTGTGAGCTTCAGTGTGACCAGAGCCGAACTTGGGGAGGGTAAGTTAATTAGAACAAGTCTACTAGAATAGGAGGTTAATAAAAAGTTTGCATCCCAATTTAGGTGCCGTAGGTCAATGAGTAAAAAAATTTAAACCGATTCAATACGATCCGAATGAACTCCATATTGGGGACTTCAGACCGGTGATCCATATACAAGAATGGAACGGACAATCGAAATAAATAAATTTTTAGTTACGTAAGGGTCGTCAAATTTCTTCGACCACCTTTTTATAAATCCAAGCACACCCCTGGCTTTATTCACCATAGATGAAGTATGATTGGAAAATTTCAATTTTGGTCCATAAGAACCCCAAGATCATCCACCTGAGTTGTTCTGTCCAAAAAGCACCCACTTAAAGTGTAAGCACCCCGTATAGGGTCAGCTTACACTTAGAGCCGTTTAAGTTAAGTAAGATATCACTGCACAATTTTCGGAAACTATCTAGATCGGGTTGTAAATTCGAACGGCAGGAAATGTCCTTATACTACAAGCACAATTTAACATCGTCTGCGTACATAAGTACACGAGAGTGAGTTATTACTAAGGGAAGGTCAGTAATGAATAAGGTAAACAGTAGCGGACAAAGGTGGCTCCCTTGCGAGACGCCGAAGTTGACTCGGAGAACACAAGAAAGTGAATTTTTAAAAAGGAACTTAAGATCCATTCTAGAAGATCAACTGGGAAACCTAATTAGTCAAGTTTCCTAACAAGAAGTGAATGATTTACAGAGTCAAATGCTTTACTAAAGTCGGTGTAAATGACATCTGATTGAAAATTGTGTTTAAAACCCCTAATCAGGAATGAAGTAAACTCCAAGAGATTAGTGGTTGTTGATCTTTGTTTTATAAAACCGTGTTGATACGGTGAAATGATAGACCTACACAGGTGCTGCAAGTGAGGGGTGAAACCTTTTTCAAAAAGCTTAGGAATGGCAGACAATTTAGAGATACCTCTATAATTGCTTGCATCCGATTTTTTACCTTTTTTTCGAAGAGGAATTACAAATGACTTCTTCCACATATGGAGAAACTGTGACGTTTCCAAAGGGAGGGTCAATAATTTGAGAAACGACTTGCACAAGGCTTCCGCGCAATACCTAAACACACAGCCAGGAATGCCATCGGGACCTGGTGAATATACAGGCTTAACACGCTGAAGATAGCAAAGTAGCGAGCTTTCGTTTAAAGTGGGACAGAATATTAAATTCGACTTAGAAACAGCGTAAGAATAGGGCTGATCATAGTGAGGTAAGTGAGGTGAGTATGTTGTTTGAAAAAACTGGGCAAATAAATCGGCTATTGCCTGATCCGATGTTGCCGTAGTATTTTCAAATGATAACGAGGAAGGGAAAGAAGATGTTTTACGCTTCGTATTAACGAAATTATAAAACTTTTTCGGATCCTGCGCAAACTGGACCTTGCAACGGTTTAAATAGTTTTTGTAATACTGAGCATTAAGCACAGAAAAATTCGACCGAGCTTTTAAATATTTTGAAAAGATAGATTAAGAACCGGTATCTTTAAATTTCCTACAAAGTCAGGATTTTACATTTCTTAAGTGTGTCAACCAGGGGCGGACGCAGGGGGGGTGTTTGGGGGGTCCGGACCCCCCCCAAAATCGCAGACTTTTTCAAATTCCCTTACAGCACACGGCCTTTCAACCATATAAACTAAAAAATTTTTTGACCGGACCCCCCCAAACGAAAAAATTTTTCGACCGGACCCCCCAAAATTTTTTTCTGCGTCCGCCCCTGGTGTCAACTCTTTATTGAACCAATAAGATTTGCTAAAGATAGACGGATAGAATTTCGGAACACAAGAATTTTAAAAAATCTTGATTACAGTATAAAATATAATTATTGCATCCGCCATATTATTGCAAGTGTAAAGATCGGATAATGATATGTCAAGCAAGCCGTCAATAAAGTCATTTTGTGCTATAGGCAGTAGTACAATTGAACTTTCATCTGAGTACCAAATAGTTCCAGGTATATTAAAATCTCCTACAACTACCAATAGATCCCTATCTGAAAGCTATCCGAAACGGACTGTATAACAGACAAATGATTAAAATAAACTGAAATTTCAGAAGATGGCGGTAGGTATGTAGGAGCAAGTTATATAAATAAGACTTTACGCATAGTGAGGGTGGTCTCATCCGCAATTAAGACTCCACCACCTCGCTATTAAGGATCTCCGACTTTAACCACGTTTCTGTAAACACAATAATATAAGATGCAAAAGAAAAGCTTTCAGAATACAATTAGTTAACTTGCTACTCAAGCCCCTTGCATTTTGATAGAAAGAAGAAGGCTTGATGTTAGTTTTTTGAGGAAGGGAAGAAGTGGTAGATAAAGTTCAGTGGTCTGGCAACTCGAAGGAAGTTTTATTCCCTCGCGCCTTTTTTATTTTAGATCTTAGCTTCGAACTCTTTTACCACCATACTATCCGGGCAGAAATTACCCGAACATATGGTTGAAAAAAGCTCGTCCGGAACACTGATCTTGAAAGATGAAATACCCCAAGTGTAAGACAAGTTAAATTTTTCCACTTTAATGTTATCGGCTTTTGTTTTGTCTTATATATAAGACAGTACATCGGATGATGATTGATCAGGGGAAAGCCGAGAAACGAAAATCAGTTTCTTAAGTGGAACCACTGAAAGGGGTTTGTAGTGCCAAAACCCCTTGCAGTGTTTCTCTGCAAAACCAATTTGAGCAGGTAAACCGGCCTCAAAGTTCCCTTGTGGCGGTAAACTTTTTGGGGCAAGTGGAATCACTGGTTGTATGACCAGTGCGGACGAATCGGATAATCTAGGGGTACCAGTCTGAACGCCCTCCACTGAGGATTGATCGGGATGATCCGAATCTTTTTTAGCTGCCGATCTAAGCAACATTTGAGAATTTCTTGTGGTTTTCGGCTGCTCCTCAGTGGAGTCCTTCTGGTCAACTTCCTGAGGCTGCGGGGTGTTCCCCATTGGCTTCCTTCCACCAGCGGCTTTTACGCTTTGGACCCTCGTCCAATAGCTTGGGGTCCAGCGCTGAGAGGAAATCTTCTGCTCGGCGGAAACTATATCTAGCCACGTCAAAACAGCCGATTAGCCCCTTTAAGCCACCTTTGGTTTAGCGCATAAACGATTTAGTTTCGTCGCAACCCCAAGACAAGTATCACATAAGTACTTCGGGTTTGGACCCTTAGCTAGGTCACAGCATGTTTGGCCGTTAAACCAGTGCACTTAGTGTGCACCATTTTATCACAAAGCCAACAAGTCATTTTTGGTTGATCAGGCTTAATTATCTGACGGCATTTTTGATAAAAACAGGTCACATTTAATTCCTTTATTATTAACTTCTTATCATTGTATGAAGAAAAACAAAATCCAAACTTTCAAGCGAATAGTTAAAAGTACCGCAAGAGCGCAACCAGCACGCTTGGAACTTTAGGTTTTGTGTGAGAGCACGAGAGCGGAAGAGCACAGCGCAGTTAGCTTGCAGTAATAAGCAACAACAAAACAGCACTGCGGACAGAGTAGAATGCAAGACACAGATCACAAAAACAAAAAAACAGAAGAAAAAATAAAAAAAAAATTTATAGAAATAAAATACAATTTAAAACATATTCACTCGCGAAGCTAACGGAGTTTTAAAGTTTATCAGATTAAAATTTTAACGAATTGATTTAAAAGCACCGATGGCTTCAGCAAAAACAAATAAAAATTCGGAGCGCACAAAAGGAACACTACCGTTTGCCATCAAAGTCAAGAGAGATATGCCAAGATATTTTTTTTATTACGCTATGTATTTTGAAAGGTGATTTGTGATTTGACTACCAAATTCCCGATGCTACGATTCTCTAAATGTAGTTATAATATATATATATATAGTGACATATCCATAGCACCACATAAACTATGTACATGTCTACACACCCATACACTCACACACACACATCTAATACTTGCTAGAACTTACCCTTGACACTTAGATTCAAATATGCAAATGTACCGAACATGATCCTTAACCAAATTAAACCTAAACATAATTGAGGATGGAAAAGTACTTGTAAACCAATCCTCAGACTAAACATTTTAGATAGAAACGCGCATTCAGCACGTTCCCATAATTCAGATTCCCAAACCAAAGTCGTAAACTCAAATTTCGGGACCAAGGCCATAAACAAATTCAAACCCAAGAATCCAAAGTCCAATCGGGAAAGTTCTTAGCCTAAACAATAAAACACACTCTGTTGAGGAACCTCACTACTAATTACAATAATCTGGTATATTTTATAGCATGTAAGATATTCTTTCTTAAGATGGTCTGGTCTGTCTTTGATCTCGCTCTCTTCCTCCTGACCACGAGCTGTCAACATGAAATAAAGCGTAAATTCTTATTGTGAAATAATTGAGTATTATTCTATCAACCAATTTGAAAATGGTCTTACAAACCATTTAGCGTGATCTATTCACCACCATTGTCTGGTCTTACAAATCATCAGCGTGATCTATTCACCATCATTGTCTGGTCCTTCGAGAGCCGGAATACTTCCGCATCTACAAACTGTTTGAGTATATCTACACACCATGGAGCAACAGACGCTTAAACGCCTTACCCAAGCACGTGGTCGGCTAAAGGCTACCATAACTCGCTTGGTCAATTACATTGAGAATCCACCTCCACAGAGCACTTACTCCGGAGTCGATGCCATGCTGGCACGGCTAAATCAAGCCTTCAAAAGCCTTGAGGAGATCACTGACGAAATGCACGTGTACGATAACGTTGAAGGTTTCGAGGATCCTACCGAAGATTTCCAATTGTATGAGGAGAAGTACCTGCGCGCGCTTACCTTATTCGCGTCGTTGAAGAGCGAACTTCAGCCAAGCGCCATACCTCAAGCGGATCACAACATGGCCACATTGCTGCAACAGCAAAGTGAGTTCTTGCAGCGACTTGCTGAGAACGGAGCATCTACCTTGGCCACGCCGCCGCCTGCTGCAGTTTGTTTAAATGAAAACCCGTTGCCGAAAATCCACATCAAACCCTTTGGTGGAGACTACAAGGAATGGCCAGCCTTCAAGGACATTTACGAGAGCACCGTCCACAATAAGACCCACCTGGGAAAGATTCAGAAGTTTCACTACCTTAAGTCTTTCATAGTTGGTGAAGCGGCCAATCTTCTCAGTCACATGTCCATTACGGAATCAGCTTATGATTCAGCATGGGAACGCCTCAATGATCGCTATGATCGCCCAAGACATATCGTGAACTCCTTACTGGACACTTTCATGGCACTGGCTGCTGCCCCCACCGGCGAGGTGTCTAATCTACGCAAACTTACTGATGGCGCCAATGAAATCATTCGTGGGCTAGATGCAGTTGGGGAGACAAGCCGTGATTGCTGGGTGATTCATCTTGTACTAGCTAAAATTGATCCCGACTCTAGAAGGAAGTGGATAGAGGACACCAGAGGCTCTGCGACACCAACCGTTGCAGACTTGTTTAGATTCCTTGATGACCGTTGCGAGGATTTTGAATTAAGCCAAGCTACATCGGCAATTAAACTCGATACTGGCAGCCACACGGACAAGCCTGCCAAAGCGAAGCGCGCACTTATTGCAGTGAACCGTGGCAATTGTAGTAAGTGTGGCTCTGCTGACCATCAGCTGTATAGATGCTCTCAATTTCAAAATCTGAACACCGAACATCGGCGCTCCTTTGTGAAAGGAAAGTCGCTTTGCTTCAATTGTCTACGCCCTGGCCACCGATCTGCACAATGTCAATCGAAACATTCGTGCAAGCACTGCAATGGCCGTCATCATTCTCTTGTACATCCTGAAAACATGGATTCCATGACAGTTCCTCCTGCGGACACTGTACAGGCCAGTCCTCAAACTTCTGGATGTAGCTCAACTTTGGTCGCCCAGACGCAAAACAGCACCTCATTAACACAGTCATCGGGACTCAAAAGAAGCACATTGCCCACAGCTTTGGTGTATGTCCAAAACTCAAAGGGACTTACACAATTTGTCGTGTGCTTTTGGATAGCGGCTCTGAGCTATCCTACGTTTCTGAACGATGCATCAACGCACTTGGGCTCGCTCGTTCACCCTCAAGAATTCTAGTTTCCGGAATATCTTCCGTCAAGGCCGAAACTACTAGAGGATTGGCAACGCTGCATATCAAGTCAATGGTGTCACTTCATACGATTGTTGTCGCAGCCCATGTGCTGGGCAAAATCACATCATCACTTCAACGGGACGACATTGACGAAACAGCTTTAAGGATCTACGATGGACTCCAGTTAGCCGATACTTCGTTTAACACATCTTCACCTGTAGACATTTTACTAGGAAACGAACAAATTTGGTCCGTTTTGTCAGGTGATAAAAAATATGACACCGATGGAAATATTATTGCCATCAGCTCAATCTTTGGATGGATAATCACTTCAGTTGCAATGCCGCAACCATTAACCGCCAACACGCTCATGACTACTGTTGACATTAACGCCTCTCTTCAACGCTTTTGGGAGATCGAGGATAACACTGAGCATACACAACGAGACCCTGCGCACGAAAAGGTAGAGCAGCATTTTCTGACCACACATTCCCGAGACCCAGACGGCAAATACATCGTTGAATTGCCTTTTAAACACGAATGCCAAGAGTTCGGAGACACCCTGCACGGCGCTGTCTCACGCTTCTATGCTGTGGAACGTCGTCTGCAGCGTGATATGGAGCTACGCAAGCTATATTCAAAATTTATGAGCGAGTATTTAAGCCTAGGTCATATGCGTAAGCTGCCCCCTGAAGAATGCAACACATCAGCAAAAACGTTTTATATGCCACACCATCCAGTTCTAGGAAAGAAGCTGCGCGTGGTATTTGACGGGTCATATGAAGACGTAAACGGGCACGCTCTAAATGACGCCTTACACATCGGACCCAGCATACAACGCAACCTTTTTCATGTATGCCTTCGCTTTCGAATGCACAAGTTTGTGTTTTCGGCGGACATAGTTAAAATGTTTCGCCAGATCTGGGTTGCCCCTAAGCACCGCAACTTTCAACGCATCGTATGGAGAGAGGCTCCGAAAGATCCTCTTCAACACTTTCAACTCTGCACAGTCACCTATGGAACAAGCTGTGCACCGTTTCTTGCTGTCAGAGTACTGGAACAACTAGCGCGAGACCACCAGGATGAGTTTCCCACAGCCTCAAAAATTGTGCTTGAGGACTTTTACGTAGACGACGTCCTCACCGGCGCTGAAACTGAAGACGAATTACTTAGCCGCCGCGACGAACTCATCCAGCTGATGTCCAAGGCTAAGCTTGAGCTTGGCAAATGGGTGTCTAACAGCAGCGTCATCCGCCACACCCGGCAAGACGAGCTCCAAATAACCAGTGCGGTTAAAGTTTTAGGAATGCTATGGAATCCCCAAGACGACGTCCTGTCCTACAAACCTTCGCTTTCTACGGAGCCAGATGCTACTAAACGGCAAGTATTGTCAGATGTCTCACGAATTTTTGATCCTCTAGGTATTCTGGCGCCTGTGGTAGTACAGTTCAAGATCCTTTTCCAAGAACTCTGGCTGCTTGACCTGGACTGGGATTCAAAACTCCCACCGAAACTGGCTGAGTGGTGGCAAACCTGTCGCGACGATATCAACTACATAACCAACCTAAGGATTCCACGTTATGTACACAGCGAACCGGGAAAAATCGAATTACATGGATTTTCAGATGCATCTATAAAGGCATATGCCGCTGTTGTTTACAGCCGTGTAAGCAACGCAGACGGCACCTGCTTGGTGTCACTTATGGCAGCCAAAACACGCGTTGCGCCACTAAAGCAACAAAGTCTTCCTCGGCTGGAACTCTGTGGCGCGCTATTGCTCACTCGCCTTCTCCGAGCTGTTAAAGAAGGATTGCATCACAAGGATATAGTTGTGCATGCTTGGTGCGATTCCACGATTGTCCTTTCGTGGCTGTCGCACACCCCATCGAAGCTGAAGACCTTTATTGCGAACCGTACTTCGGAGATCCTAGATGTCATACCACGCAGCGCATGGCATCACGTTGGCTCAAAGGATAACCCTGCCGATTGCGCATCGAGGGGAATGCTAGCATCCAATCTCATGAACTATGAACTGTGGTGGAAGGGACCACATTGGCTACACCTCGACGATCTGCTTGCTTCAAAGCTGCGTAGTGGCAACAATCTCACAACAATTTTGGACACGCCCATAATGGATGGGCTAAAATCCTCTTCACTATCCAGCCGTGTTGAATCTGAACCTGAAGCGTCCCCGATTGAGTGTATATCGTTTCGAGTTTCTTCCTGGACCAAGCTAATTCGCTGCACTGCTTATGTTTTACGGTTTATGCATCGAGGAATGAAGAAACGGATTCCGTCAAGCCTCACACTCACGTTTGAGGAAATCAGCGAGGCCCGCATTTATTGTCTAAGGCAGGCTCAAGGAAGCTTCTCATCCGATCTACACCTGTTGCAAAGGGGAAAAGCTGTGGCAAATTCATCAACACTTCGAACACTGTCACCCATGGTTTGCAAGAATGGCCTGCTTCGCGTAGGTGGGCGCCTCTCAAACTCGCTACTACCGGAGGAAGTCAAGCATCCAATTATTCTGCCGAAACATCATCGCATTTCTCTGCTTATTTTGGAACACGAGCACAGGATACATCTTCATCCAGGTGTGACAGCACTTTTCGTCATCGTTCGCCAACAATATTGGATAGTTGGCGCACGCAACATGATTCGTAAGCTTACACATGCTTGTCTCAAATGTTTTCGCCAACGCCACAAAACAACTGACCAATACATGGCGGACTTGCCAGCTGTTCGGGTACGTCAAGCATACCCATTTGAAAATACTGGGTGCGATTACGCCGGACCGCTTCTACTCAAGGTGCACAAGGGACGGAATCCACGAAAGGAAAAGGGATACATTTGTCTATTCGTCTGCCTAGTGACCTCTGCAATTCACTTAGAGTTGGCTACAGATCTCAGCACGGATACATTTCTTGCTGCACTTCGTCGTTTCATCTCCCGTCGCGGCAAGTGTACCCACATCTTCAGCGACAACGGTCGCAACTTTGTGGGAGCAAAGAAGGTGTTAGACGAAATGTATAAGCTCATCCTATCACAGCAGCATAACACTCAAGTAACCCAAGCGTTGGCCAGCGAGGGTATCAAATGGAGTTTTATACCACCGCACGCACCCCACTGGGGCGGAAAATGGGAATCAGCTGTTCGCTCCGTAAAGCTGCATCTGCGTCGTGTCATCGGGAATTCCATCCTCACATTTGAGCAAATGCACACCCTTCTGGCATTCGGAAGTAAAGTTGCTGCGAGCCGGACGTGTTTTTAAATCCGAGTTCGCGAAAACAAGTTCCTACCGAAGTAAATCGCGCGAGTGCTACCTGGAAGTAAAGAAGTGAGGTTGTAGAGTCCCGAAGTGTTGGAGGATACAACATACCGGCGTGCAGAGGACTGCATTGGATTCCAGAATTCCCTGGCTCCAACGCGTCGGCCCGGAATCTGGACGCAGGGGTGATACCCCCCCTGCGGGTGAGTGGAAAGCCGTTTTCACTCAATTTTTCACAAATTGGGATAGGTCTGCCATCTTCGTGGTCAGTTGACTGATCAGCTGCGCTGCAGAGCTACCAACTCTTCGCGAGCGTAAGCTGAGCTGTCAACCCGCGGAGAAAGCTCCAAAGTAAGCTTTTACCTAAGCTGACTTAAAGCGTTGCATACCTATAGGCGGCAATTAAGATTACAAAAATAAAAGTAAACAAAATAAACAAAATAGTAAAGGATGGCGAGCCGTGGCTGTGGCCCGGTTAGCATGAACAAGGAGGCGCCTCAGGGCAAGGCTGAAAGCGCAACAGCCAAGAGTATTGTTGCGCCGGAAGCTGACCCTTTTAAGAGGAGTAACAAGATGGGGAGATCACCGACGAAGGTGCCGAAATCTCCACCCATCTTCTCGCCTGCATTAGAGCAGGAACAGCCGGAAACGGCTCAGGCGGGAGGTCCCACAGAAGCTGGGGTCTTCCATTTTAGCGCAGTTACAGAGCAGGGACTGGCTCCGCTTATCGCCAATGGCGACATAGACGGAGTCATTGGCACGATCGGTGCGAAGTTGTCCCAGCTTAACAGCATGATGGTAGGCAAGACGAGGGTGATGGTGACGATTCCGATGAAGGAACTCGTTCAGCAGATCATCGCCCTGCAGAAGTCTGCTGTAAAGATACTGGAGACGGCCCCTAGTAATCCCAGAGAGCAAAATCGCACACCCAAGAGGCAAAGAGAGAGCCCTAGAGCCGGTAAACTCTCAGCGCCAAAGAGGCAGAAGGTGCCGCAACCTTGCGGCACAAGCAATAAGGTGGTGAAATCCATCACCTACGCTAGTGCTGCGAAGGAGATTTCCGGCCCTCTCCCGCAGAGCCATGTGGCCAATGGCAGGAAGGAGGGTGCGGAATGGTCGACGGTTACCAAAAAACCGAAGAAGCAGCAGCCAAATAAGCAGCAGCCAAACAAGCAGCAGCAGCATAGAAAACTCCCTCCACGCACAGACGCACTAGTCGTCAAGTGTGGCGAGGGCATGCAGTATGCCGACGTGTTAAAGTTGGTGAAAAATAACCCAACTTTACAGCAACACAAAGATTGCGTCAAAGGCATACGGATGACTGGTAGGGGCGAGCTTCTCATCAAAATGATGAAAACGGCCGACCCAGCCACATCCAGGCTACAGAAGGCTATGCAGGAGACCCTGTCTGATAAGGCAGAGGTTAAGGAGTTGAAGGAGCTAGTCCAGGTAGAGATCAGGGACATTGCTGAATTTTCGTCGAAGGACGACATAATACAGGCAGTTTTCGCCAATCACGAAGGCGATATTCCACCAGCGGCCATTCCTTCCCTAAGGAAGGCATACGGGGGCACGTTAACAGCCAAGATGAGCATCCCGCCCGTCCTTGCGGAGAAGATCCTAGCAGAAGGAAAAATCCGCATCGACTGGGCGCACTGTAGGGTCCGTAAGTCCGTTGAGCCAAAGCGATGCTATAAATGCCTCGCATTTGGTCACATGGCCTTGCACTGCCGTAGCAAGGTCGATTTGTCCAAAGCGTGCTTTAACTGCGGTGGGCTCGATCACGAGTCCAAAAGCTGCAGCAAAGAGGCACGCTGCCTACGTTGCGCAAAAACCCATGGCGCAAACTGCAAGCACCACACGCTTAGCAGAAGCTGCCCAGCTTACCAGCAGGCTCTCAAAGCAAAGGGAAAATGAAGATTCTCCAATTGAATTTGAACCATTGCAGAGCGGCACAGGACTTGCTTGCACAAACAGTGCGAGCCCTAAAAATAGACCTGGCCATTTTGAGCGAGCCATACGCAAGTAAGCACGATGGGATTTGGTTTCAAAACACCCAAGGTGGTGCAGCAATTTGGAGCTGCAGCCCGAGACCATTGCAGATCCAATGCCGGCATTCAGGCAGAGGTTTTGTCAGGGCGAAGGTGGGTAGCCTTACCATCTATTCGTGCTACATTGCACCCAGTGTCGACTCGCAGACATTTGGCAGCATTGTTGACGACATTCTGGAGGACGCCAGAGGACGACACCCCATCATCATTGCCGGCGATTTCAACGCCTGGGCAACGGAGTGGGGCAGTCGCCTCACAAACCATAGAGGCCACATATTGTTGGACGCTATTGCCCGGTCAGGCCTCACTCTGGCTAACACAGGGTCAGCCAACACATTCGAGAAGGCGGGAATGGGTTCAGTGATCGACATCACGTTTATGAGCCCAACCTTAACCAGGACGTCAGCATGGCAAGTCTCAGAGATATATACCGGAAGCGACCACCGGGCCATCACCATGGAAATAAGAGACGGGCGATATAAACGCAAAAACATCAATGCGTCCACTGGGTTCCGAGATTCTACCCTCGACCCGCAAGCCCTGATCTTAATGGCGGAAGATCTCGTGTATGACGAGCGTAAGAACGCCAACGAAAATGCTGTATGCATTAAAAAAGCAACCTGGTCAGCATGCGCAGCTTCCATGGAAAGGAGACGTGCTGGCGGAAATGGGTGTCCCCCGGTGTATTGGTGGACCGATGCCATAGCGGAGGCGCGCAGGAAGTGCCACCAGGCACGAAGGCAATATATGCGCTCTCGAGGTAGGCCGAACTTCGCCTCACTCCAACGCCTCTACAAATCCTTGCGGACGGCTCTTAAAAAGGAGATCTCCGCGAGCAAGAAACAATGCTTCGCTAAACTATGCGATGACGCAGACACACGTCCCTGGGGCACAGCGTACAAGCTGGTAATGGGGAAGTTGGCGGCCTTCAGCCAGCCCACCCCAACATGTCCTGAGCAGCTCAGCAACATAGTGGCGCACCTCTTCCCGCCGAGTGTAGTACTGCAGCCACAGCAAGAGCCCTCCCCGCTTCAAAGTGAGATTTTTCCCACGTTCACAAATGCTGCGGAAGTCTTGGCTGAAGTTAGGAGAATCAAAGTCGAAAAGGCCCCTGGCCCAGATATGATCCCTAACAAGGCATTAAAGATAATAATGACGGAGAGATTGGAGATCTTCGTAAAGCTCTTCAATGCCTGTTTCGCACAGAGAACGTTTCCTGAAGCCTGGAAAATGCAGAGATTGGTACTATTACCCAAGGGCAGTCAAAATGACAACCTTGCGGCCTATAGGCCACTCTGCATGCTCGACACTGTGGCAAAGGTATACGAGAGGCTAATCTGCAACCGCATCGAAGTTGCACTGTCCGAGGGTCCGGGCTTATCCCACAATCAATTTGGTTTTAGGAAGAAGCGCTCCACAGTGGACGCGATCGGGCTGGTACATAAACTGGCCTCTGAGGCAATCCAGGGAGCACGTTGGCGAGGCGGTAGCAAAAAATACTGCCTTGTGACTACCCTGGACGTAAAGAACGCATTTAATACTGCCAACTGGGTACGGATACTCTCAGCCCTGAGACGTTTACAGGTCCCCAGCTATCTGGTGGACATAGTCTCAGAGTATCTTAGCAACAGACAGCTTCTATATGATACTGAGGAGGGCCGTCGAAGCTATGCAGTTTCAGCAGGAGTTCCCCAGGGCTCGGTGCTGGGCCCTACCCTCTGGAACTGCATGTACGATGGAATACTGAACCTACAGCTCCCTGAAGGAGCTACGATCATTGGCTTCGCAGACGATATTGCTGTCGTCGCAGTAGCGAAGCACCTAAACGAAGCCGAAGCAGTAACTAATGCGTCTATCGAGCAAGCTTCCCACTGGCTATGTGCTAATGGCCTGAAGCTCGCCGAGCACAAGACGGAAGCCGTCTTGATCAGCAGCAGGAAGGCAGTAGAAACCGCCCAAATAATAGTGGGTAGGACAATTATACGGTCCAAGCCCTTCATTAGGTATCTTGGCGTAATGCTGGACCACCGGCTTACGTACAAATTCCATTTAGAGGTGACGGGCAACAAAGCGGCCAAAGTTGCCACGTCTTTAGCTAGAATGTTAGGGAACGTTAACGGGCCAAAACAGCAGAGCAGGCGCCTTCTGGCAAATGTGGTGAAATCCACAATCATGTATGCGGCACCGATCTGGGCTCCGGCCATGACCTCGCCCACATATAGTCGCTCATGCAGGGCGGCATACAGACGCGCCGCACTCCGAGTTATATGTGGCTTTCGGACCATTTCCGAGGAAAGCGCGTTATTGCTAGCCGCCACGACGCCCCTAGACCTGCTCGCAAAGCAGGCGCAGGAGCTGGCCGGCGAATTTGCATCGATCGAGGAGAGTAGAGCCCGCGTGGTCTCAGCGTGGCAAAACCGGTGGAGTGGAAGCACAAAGGGTAGGTGGACGTACAAGCTACTGCCAGATGTGAAGCGTTGGGTTGAAAGAAAGCACGGACAGGTTGACTTCTACATGACGCAACTGTTGACAGGACATGGGTGCTTTAAATCCTATCTTCATAGGTTTGGGCACGAGACGGACCCGTTCTGCACACAGTGTACTGGGGCAATCGAAGACGCAGAACATGTTTTCTTTTTATGTCCGAAATTTGAAGCTATAAGGCATGAGCTCAGCCTAGCAATTGGGAAGCCGTTCACGGTCTCTGACCTGATGGATACGCTACTGGGCTCACAAAACAATTGGGATGCCGTCAGCAAAATGACAGTCTTTGTCATGAAATCCATGCGTCGCGCTGAACGTCAGCGCAACCGTCGTCTAACCTAGTTTAATTACTAGTTGCGGCTTTTCAGGCCATCTCCCCCCTCGCGAAGTAATACCCAAGGTTAACCCCTGCGGTTGTACCGTGAGAAGGGAAACGGAGAGTAGGTTCGGGGTTTTACTGGGTGAAAG